TTTATTGAATTAGTTTGCTAAAGAAGTCCAAATAATTTGCAAAGGATATGGATTGCAATAATATTTTAAAGAACAAAATACAAAAGATAATAAAGCGTTATTATGATGAGTAATCACAAGATGAGAAAAATTTAGACCCATTTCAAAACCTTTGCGACTTAAGCAGTAACATTCGACTTTTTGAAATCGAGAATTAATAAACATTTCCGGAAAACTGTCGACTGAATAACTGTAAAGTAATACTGTAAAGATAAAGATATATTATATGATCATGACTAATTGATGGTTCTAGAAATAGGTTTGAATACAAAAATCTAAGATATTTATTTTAAAGGTACAATGATGGATACAATAGGCTTGCAACCAGTTTTCCCAACCTTCCCTTCCAATTTTAGCAGTTACAATCGCAACTGCTAAAAGAAATTTTAAAAATAAAAACTAATTAAAAATTGCGTAAAAACTCTAGGTCAGAAACGTCTACCAGACCTGTAAAAACAGAAATTTTAAAAAATTTAAAGATCACTAAATAATTCAGTTTTTCAAAAAAAAGGCAAGGTGAGTGAATATATATCTGGAATTATTTGTGAAAAATTCAGAAAATTAGAGAGGATTAGATAGATAAATAATAATTAGAGTGATAAATAAATATTCTTTTAATTTTATATATTTTTATATTTTCTAAAAAAAATCTTGAGGGGGCCCCCAAACAAATTTTGATACGGGGCCCCGCCAAGGCACGCTACGCCCCTGAATAGATCAAAAGTTGGAAGTGTTTTGGTGATTTCATATATCATAATATATTTGGCTAAATTCATTTTGATACAATTTTCTGGAACAAAATTCATTTTTCCAAAAACCTTATCAATTTTGCTCACTCCACTACTACGCCTTTGATCAGACGGTTTTAATCTCACTGAAAATAATTCTTTTACAAATAAATTTAATACATAAAACACAAACAGTTTGCTCTAGATTATGCACAGGCATGTTTTTTATTTCTGTGTACAACTATATGTATTTTTTCTCAATACTAGGGTTGGAAAATTATTTTTCGAAAATCATTCTTTCAATTTTGATGCTTTGATCTTGAAATTACCAGGATGATTTACCACTGCCCAACCTGATATCAATGATAATTAGCACCACTGTAGAAGATACTTTAACGTGTTGTAGAATAAATTTTAATTAATAAATATTTTCAAGCAGTGGCATGTGCTAGCTTAAACTAGTCCCGATTTTGATCTCAACCTTGATATCAAGCGGTATACAAAATTCTACTCAAAGTTTTAATTCTTAAGTAAACTACTGTACATAGTAAACTAGAAAAAAGTATAATAAACCACTGGGTTGTCCTCTCGAAAAGAATAAGAGATTATGAATGTAATTTAGTAGATACAACTCAAAGAAGATGTAGTTTTGATCGCTGTTGAAAAAAATAACGAAGCTATCAAAATAAAGGTCACCATTGATAAAAATGACTGAAAAATTTGTTAAAATATTACTTTGTTGGTTGTAGATAATTTTATTCTGAAAAAATTACTGTTTTTCGATTTGATTCAACATCAAGTGTTAAGTAAGAATTAATTAACTTCGGTAAATAATACACATTTTCAAAAACTTTGAAGGTCTATAAATCTTCAAAAACCATTCCTTAAATCTCATTTCTAAATCTTGTTAATCACAATCGGTATATGTATAAACTTTCTGATATACCTACGCGTATATCAGAAAGTTTATGCAACTTATCTAAACACATAATTCCATTTACATCTAATTTAAATTTGAGAACGGTGGAGCATTTTGTTATTCAACGGTACGTGTGATGAATATGCTCTATTTAATCTTTATAAAATAATGATAATTTATATTAAATTTACAGAGCTTACAAATTCAATTTTGTTAAATGTAGTATGCTATGAAAAAGTATAATAAAGCTATTACAATTTTTTATGGTGCTATTCTATTGTAAAAAAAGGAAAACTAACATTCTCTTCTATCATTGACCTAGTTTATGAAAGTGTAGGAATACAAATCATCTAGAATATTAAAATCATTATAATTAAATTACTTTGATATTAATTTCATGTTTTTTTTTCAAAATACGATACAGTTTAATGTTGAACTTTCAATCAACGTCAAATATCATATTTTCAATCTAAAGTTTTTCTATTTATCCTTATCGTTCCTGTCGAGACAGCTGCCACTATAAATCGACAATATAATGAACAGTTCATCGAAATTTAGTATGATCGATATTGCCAAGAGAAAATTCAAAGGCGTAGAAAATGATAAAATAAAATATTATAAGACAACAATTAATACATATAATAATCTTTTTGTAGAGGGTAGAACAATATCGCATTTTTCTTATTTCTGGATATTGGACTGATGTCGTATAAAAGATATAACATATATTTATTTATTTACTTAATATTTATTTAGTTAGATATAATATTTAATTTGTGTGAAATCAAGGTATGAAAAAATTTAGTAACAAAATTATAATTTTCGTATTACAAAATTTCACATGCATTTATTCTTTGATGCGCATGATTTTATTCAACAAGTACAAGTAATTAAATTATTCAACTGGAACTTTGCTGAAACAAACTTTAGTGAATATTAGAAAAAATGTTTATTCGTATTAAATAATTTAAAACTTCTATAAACTATATTCGTACATACATATGAATTTTAGACTATTATTGGTCAAGGCATGTAAGGCAATCAATAAATGAGTAACCAGGTAGACAAAAATCGTTAAAATAAATTGAAAAAGTACTAAATGCACTAAAATTGCGGATACATCCGATTTGTATCAAAATGTGCATCTATGTGCAATATTTCCAATACTTTTTCTCAAAATATCTGAACTCATTTATAAACAGAGTAGTCTCTTCGGGCACATTCCGCTTCGCGTAGCAAAGATTCGATATTCGCATATTGCTAATAACATATGCTACATATTGATATTAAAAATAATCGAGTTCCACGATATTACATGATCTAGATTGATGTGGTATTATTTTCTATATATAGTTCCAAATGAAAACTGCTTGATATAAGGCTCCTCGAAATGGGATCGAAATCGGGACCTCTGTGATTCGAGTCCAGTCGCTGTAGCCCAAAAATGGGGCCATTATACTTTTAATTGCAAGCTGATACTTATTTCAATGATTGAAGTATTTGAGTTTCAAAACTGATATCGTAATCATTGTTATAAATTAGTCCATAAGAGAATCACAATTTAAAATGAAAATACTTTCCACTCCCATTATACTTGTTATTTCATTACTTCAAATTCTGGGAAAATTGCCGTTCTCAAACAAGATTTCAAAACTTCTCGCAAAGCAGAACTTCTGCAAAACTTCCATCGATATAAGAAGTGAAAACTGTAAATTCGAAATGTTAAATAGGATCGAATCGCATTTGAACCTTTCCCGATGTAAATATTATCATAGTTTCGATTTGGCGAGAAAATCATATTAGTTTTATAGAGCTGGTTATAGTTATTGAATATTTGATGAAATTGTGATCGAGATGCTCGGACAGTAAGCCGAAAATATAATATGAGATGCTGGTGATTTTTGTATCAATGTTATGAAATTCTTGTTAATATTTGGTTCGTATGGGAAGATGCAATTTATTTAATGGATTTTGCATTGCTATGTATTTTTATCAGTATGAATTCACAAATGCACAAGGAAATATAAATATTAAATTTACGAGAATGAGCATTCGACTTGAATAACAAAGAAATATTATCAAAATAATCGAAATTTTTATTAATAAATATTGTATATTTTTAACAAATCATAACTTAGTAAAAATAATTCTTAACCTCCCAGGTGTTTTATAACGATAGTTATGCTATATAAATAAAATTAAAATATAGAATATGCTCAATTTCACATATAAGTAAGTAACTAAGTATTTCATCGCAGTAAAAATATTATTGCTGTATTGATATTTAACACAAATCAAAGTCAGATTATATTTTTTCTGTAATATGTGGATATTTGATTCAATATCATTTAAAATAACTAAATTACGAAAACTATAATATATAATTCCTAAATTATATATTTGAAAGGTAAAAGTTAGTGAACCCAAATTGAGCTTTATGTTTTTAATTTAGTAGGTAATTGCTCAATTATTTTAATAGAATTAATAAATGTTCTTATTAACAGTTGAACTAAAGTGAAGATTCGGGAAATTTTCCAAATTTCACAGATCATAATATTTAAAATGATTTTGATGCCAAATTTGATATTATTTACGTTCATCTTAGAATATGTAGTATGCAAATTATTATTAATCAATTATTACAGTTGAATAATGCCTAAGATTTGCACTATGTTATCTAATTGACATGTAAAAATATTAACAAATTATAACTATTTATAGAAACTCACAATTAACTATGTATAGGTACTTCCTAACAAATAAGATATATTTTATATATTATCTGAAAGAATGTCTCAGGCGACCACATTTCAGGAAAATTGTATTACTGTACCGTAATATATTTATTATATGCTCGAATGATGTATCAGTGATGACAAAAATACGGAGGATAATAAATTCACTTACATAAAATAAGATTATATGTAACAAATATACGGAAAATTAGGTTTTTCCACATGACTAGTTTAGGCCCAGAATGAACCAGTTTTTTTTCTTTTGTGAATAACATCAGTAATTGAAGTTACTCATATATTTCACACTATTTAGAGATATTTATTAATCAAGTTATATATATATATATTACATTCTATATAGCAGATATTTCAAACTATATTATATTGAAACTAATGTGTCCAAAATGCCCTTAACAAATTGCTAAACCTCTTCGCGTCATATAATTAGTGGTACACAAACTGATGTATTTGTAAAATAATTTATAGTAATTTTTGTTTTAAAACAAACAAATCGTGTTTCAATGAAATCTAAAAAAAAGTTTGAGAAACATATTGCTATATAATTTTTTTTTATTTCAGGTAATCCCTCTAACTCTGGCGATGGATCAGTGTCAACTAACAACGCAAATGGTACATCAAATCGAGCAGAATCCTCCGACACTCTAGGAGTTCAACAAAACCTCCAACAGCCGCAAATCATCCAAACCCAACAGCAACCGCATCAACTAATCGGCGAACTCAACAGCAATATTATTTTGCTGCGCGGTCCCGGCGGTAAGCAGCAAAAATCGGGCGGTAGAGTCGGCGGTGATCAAATATTACTACAGACTTTAAAACGTATAGATCGTACGACACCAATTTTGTTGTTGAGGAATAATTCCAGAGTTGATACTGGGCAGAAATTTGCAGTTGCTACGACAAGGAAACAAAATGTGCAAATTAAGGACGAGGACAATGTTGTTTTGGCGCAACAGGATCAGGAGGAAAATGATGGGGTTAAACACATTATGCCGATTGGAACAGGTAGGATTTTTTTTTATAAATGTTGAAGGATAAACCAGAACAGAAGTTTTGTTCTGGATTGTGTGGGAGTGTATTTCTTCAAGGATCAAGTTGTCTAGAATATTCTATTGTTCAAGCGGTAAGGCATTCATAATCGGATTATATGGTTTCGAGTTCAACCTTGTGATATTTTTTTCACGCTTCTCCTTGTGGAATTTATTAGGCGTAATATCTAAAATCAATAGCATATGATATATTTAGTTTTTAATCGCTTCGCCTGTCAATTATAAATATGTGCCACTAAAAACTTATACATTGTTGAAAACTTTGTTTATACCTCAAATTATTGTTTTTATGATATTTCTCGTTACAGCGTACTTTTCGGCTAAATAAGCTGATAGATTCAATACAGTTTAAATATTGGCTTCAATAAAATCAAATAAGTTACAGTAATCTTTGCAATGGACTAAATTATGATAAATCATGGGCAATTTAATAAATCATAATACAATATTCTAATAACATTTTTTTTATTTGGATAGATTCATTGCCTATCAAAATAATATACATTTTTAAGACAATGTGCTGGGTGTAAATGCATTTAAGAGATTATCTTCTATGAGATCTCTTCTTTTATTTTTTTGACATTTTATTTAAGATCGTATGCCATTTATTTTCAATCTTCGAGTAGGAGATTCCTCGCTTAATGCTTTTAGATATTTGTTTGGGTGACCTAGTAATTTTTCGTGGTATTTTTTGCTCCTTCATCTATCATTTCATGAATAGTTTTAATTTTTAAATCTTCATGTAGAGTATCATTTGTAATATATCAGGGTGCGTTCACAATGCATCTTAAAATTCTCGATTGCGCTCTTTGTATTATTTGAATTCCTTGCGCACGCCCATAGCTCAATTCCGTATGTCCAGATTGGGATAATTATTGTTTTATATAAAAGGAGGTTATTTTTATAACACAAATTTGAATTCCTGCCAGTTAGCCAATACATAACATCTCTTTGAATTTCTTCTCCATCTGTTTTTTTTCATTTTGATGTGATTCTAATTACTAAGTACAATTACTGTACTGAAAATTGGCATGGTACATTTTTTACATAAAACATGTGAGATGATGATATTTTTTTGTCTTCTGTATCTGTATCTGTGTCGTATATATTTTTCACTTTTTCTTTTCTTCGCCATATTTTCCATTTTTTCTACATTTACTACCAGATCGCGTCAGTTTGCAATTAACTAATTACGAATATCAGAAGAGATTTTCTGCACGTCTCGGGTTTTGAACGTCGGCTTCTGAAATATGCACACTTATCCCTGGCATACTCTTCCAGGATATCCCGTAAATTATGATTAAAATTATAACAACCCCAAGATGAGATAACAGTCCTCTTCAACCTGATGTATATCCATTATCCTATTACAGATCCTGCTTTAAATCCTAATATCCAGTCTTAGGAACGTGAAGGATAATCCATATTATATGGTTGTTTTGGTTTTTTGATACAAGGAAAAAAAATCTTAAATATATGGTTGAATACATAATCGAACTAGTGTACTGAATTTTTTTTGGAATCTGGGAGTTGTTCAATTATGGAAATAAAAAAAAAATTGTTCGGCGTTGTGGAGAAGACACTGATAATGCATATTATACGGTTGTTTTGGTTTTTAAGACAAGAGAAGCAAAATATCGTAAATATATCGTTGGATACATAATCGAATTCGTGTACTGAAATTTTTTTGGAAGCTTGGAATTGTTGAATTATGGATAAAAAATTAAATTGGCTAGGCGTTGTGGATTGATACATCAATTATTCTTAACTTTCCTACAGGAAAGTTAGTTTTTTTTATTTTCTTCAGTTGAAAGAAAACAAATTTTCAGTGGAAGTTTTTGCAACTTGCCTCAAGGCTAAACGCCAATTGCCTAGTAATTTTATATAATATAATTTTATAATTTAATTTTTGTAATATGTATCATATTTTATTATTCTATTAAGGGAATTGAAAAATATCTCTATCTTGATATTTTTAACAACCAAAGCCATTCAAATGAGAATAATTTCTAGGTTTGTATTGTATCTAGATCTGCTATAAGCATTAGTTTGTATATATAGTACAATGTCTCCTTGTAGTTCCGGATCGTTATGCAAATCGAGTCTGAAGCTCCATTCTTCGAAGATTGTCCCGGGGGTTAAAGTCGACTAATCTTTACTTTTTTGCCATTCTCCTACAGAGTTATCTTTACGTTTTTCTCATTTTTCCGTTCCCCAGGCTGAGCTATTCTAAATGAAAGGTTTTGCAATAATACTCACATATTTTGATATTAAGGTCAGTTGGATAATAATGAAAATCGCAATAATTATAAAACTACATAATCATTAACTGAAAGTTTAATTTAAATATTAGTACTTTATTAGTAAGTATGTATCTGACTCACAACCTTATCTTTGCCGGCCAGCGTTGCCATAACAACGCTATGTTATGGCCTATTATTTTATTCTTTAGCTTTTTACAGGAAAACATACTCTAGGCGTTTCAATTGCATCTTACACGTAGACATTACACCACATGGACTGCTAGTCCTCATATGTTTTACGTTATATATAGTGCACAAACATAGAAGGGTATGTGATGTCTCATGTCTGAGCGAACATTTCCGATGACAATCGCGGACTCTCCCGATTTATCAAATGTCATATACATGAATAACATAGGTCTTATAATATGCAAACCGATTTTAATAGATCGATTAAATTTTATGTACATTTATTTCACAAGAAAAATATTATCATTTCTTACAAAATTATCAGCCATCACAATTGTCGTTATATTATTGAAATAAAACAATCACAAATAATGGCAATTGTGATGGCTGATAATTTTGTAACTATTGATATTAATCTTAAGAGTTAATTTAATTCAAATATTACATTATTAAAATATAACATATGACATATGACATTTAACCAATCGGGGAGTTAACAATTGTCGGCAACGCTCGTTCAGCAAGAGACGTCACAGTCCCTTCTATCTTTGTATTCTTCATAAAAGTATCTTTGTATTCTTTTGGTAAATATATGAGGACTAGTAGTCCATGTAGTGTAAGATCTATGATCTTACATCATATTTTAAATTCTATCTCACTTAATTAATTTATTTATATGGTAAACAATCAATGAATATTCAACAAGCAGTTCCAGTTTATATATGAGGATATCTATCCAGAAATTATGGTTTACTTAGGTGGAAATTCGTTTCGATTTATGAATATTCAACCACGTATTTTGCAAGACGTATCATAAAATAATCAATTAGATGTATTTTCGTTGCTGTTTTTGCATTTGTCTATACATCTGCTATGCTAATTTATATTCAATATTGAAATTGATACTGCCTTTCATAATTAGTATATTATTATTCACATTTTGCTAACTAAAGTAAATATAGAACATGATAGCTAAAGTAAGCAAGTATGTAAATGCAGAATTTTTAGGGCATGCTGCTACTTTTCTGCTTTTATTTGCATTTTCTGTTTTTTTAAAATTGCATTATATTTTGAAAATATCTGATATTCGCGTTTTGACTAGAACAAATATAGTAGTTACCAAAGTGTGGCATAATTGGAAAAAAATCTTTGATCTTCAGCCAATTTTTTATAGAAAAATAATATGTTGATTATAAGGTTAATACCACAAGCAAACTATAACAATCCAACTCAAATTAATTTTATAATTTTTTTGAAGTATTTGATTTTTTTTGCAAATATTTGCATTTACTGCGTCATTCATGGTGATGTAAATCTCTTTGCAAAAAAGGCTCCAAACGAAGTAGAGATATTATATCGTCAAACCATAATTAGGAAGCATTATCGGAAAAACTGAATGTACAAAAAAGATGATAATCTTCCTTAATGGAAAATCGTGGAATTACGGTTTTGCGATTGATTAAAGAAAATTAATTAAAAATCTCATAGTTAATGGAAAATTTCTTGTTGGTTTTATGTACAGGATTTTAAATGATGTTGAATATGCATAGATCGATTTAGAGCGAGTAATTTTCCTCAGGGTTATTATAGAAAATCAGATATTTATCAGGTATAGTGTTTATATTATCTGTATTATAATATGTAGATTAATTTTCAAATACTTGACTTTTGTTTGCGCGTTTAAAAAATCTCTTTCTGTAATCAACTGAAAATCGTCGTAATTATTTATTCTAAACTTCTGTATTTAGCATGAATTTGTATTGTAAAAGTAAGTATTAAGTAGTTAAAAATGATCTATGCTTACTTTTTAGAAGGTATTAGAGCTTAATTTTATTTTTCACACAATCACACTACACACAAACACACATCCATATATATTATATTTAAAATATATGTGTATATATTTATATATAAATTTTATTGATATGCTAAACATCACTTGTTTTAATTAAAAATATTAACAGTAACTGCATACAAAACATTCGATGCAAAAACAACAAATTAATTAATTTATAAATAACAAATGCTGGCTAATTAGCGAATTACCAAGGTTGAGTTTCACCAGACCATAACGAACATAGAATTCTATTTATTTTCCAATTTTCTATCAATTTAAATTTAATTGCATTGCCTTGCCGCCGCACATCGCAATAATAAATATTAATTATAATCATCACATCGTTATTTTATGTTTGTAAAATATACGATTGTTTGTTAAATTAAAATCTAAAATACAGAATTGTATTCGATATCCTGCAACAACGTGGAAACTAACTTTTATGAATTCAGCTCGGACATTTCCATTAACGTGCATTTGTAAAGCTTTCGTAATAGTGTGAAGTTAATGGAGATTTTTTGTTGAAATAAAATTGGAAAATGAAATATAAATATCATTACAGAATCTATTGTGCTTTGTGAACTTTGAAAGTTTCGAGGCTGCCATTACTAAATAAAAATAAATTAGGTAGTTTAGTAAAGACTTTATTTAGCTCATTTTAATATGGTAAATGGTTAAATATGGAAA